CCAGTAATTAGTTAAACAGTTAATATATTATATTCAAAATTATTAATGTAATATGGACCATGCATTTGGTTACATGCCATTACTACTGTCAAATAAGATTGAGTGACATTTTAAGACAGTTTGAACCGAATAATCTCTCACTACTTTAGCACGTTACTGCACATATAAGCTTTGCATGGGGGGGGGGGGGGGGGTCTCCCATTGATTCTAATGAAAAACTATTATCGCCCTGGAAACTAACTAAATTATATGTTGATTTCTTTTAAATATTTTCACGATAAATGTATTCACGTCATTAAGAATATATGACGTTTTTGTTCCAAAATTTAGAGATAATAAGAATTACTCTAGTCTCACTATAGAAACCAGTGTTAATTTGACTCTTGTATCTCAACAAATTTCCTTTTGACTACGTTTTGCCATGCTAAACCATACATCCCAGAGACGCTATATTGTATATAAACGTTAACTTTCTTTAAATATTTATTTAGAAATCAAAAAAGAAGAAGCAGGAAGAGGAACTTGATGATTTGGATTCTCTAGTGAATGAAATTGAAACACCAAAAGAAGAAACGAGTAAAAAGAAGAAGGTGTGTTTTTATCACTGAAATTACTACTAATAAGTAACATGTCTATTAATATGTTGCTATTACATGAAAATCTCAGTGTTCATGTTTACTCATGATAGTTCAATGAGGTGTTATGGCACTTTGAAACATGCACTCTCGTATTGGGAGTTTGTGGAACACTTCACAGTTGATGATGAAATCCTTCATTTTATATACATTCAAATTGATATAACACTCTGAGATCATTTGAAAAGGTTTATGGCTAAATTATGTGAAGTATTTGATGGTTGAACATAATGTGTGAATTGCAGAGATACTGAAAATTCACTACGTTCAATTACCCACCATAGACTCCGGTCAGTCAAAATGACTATTTTGAACTGTAGGCATTAATCAGCAATTCTGCCGGTGACGGAGAGATAGAATCCAGGTCAGGGGAAGCCCCATGACCTCAAGATTCTTTTACCCCTTACGTCACGAACCCACGTGACCGAGGCCACATGGCAACGCCATAGGCAGCCGTCCATCACTCTTAATTTCTCTCCGCCTCGAGTGGAGATGAAATCTAGCGAGCTCTGCTGGATCGCCTGCTTTTTTTCCTGTCCGGATTTATAGCTTGGGTTGTTGCCGCTGCTCGGCATCCGACATGGTAGCTGGTAGGATAAGTTTTCCTTGTCTTTTTTTACCCTCGTGTCGTTTTCCCCTTTGTGTGTAGTATTTTTCACAGCAAAGAAATCAAAATCCGGCTCCACTACGTAGTCACATGTTGATTTCATGGCGGCACCTTTTACAACTAACAGCGTCCGGATAACTTTCGGAAATTCCGTCGCGTTTCGGAAAGATTTAATTTTCACAACTTTTGAATATTTATTCATACTTTTAGGCTAGTGAGGAGGTTATAATAATTTTTCATTTCACTTTAACTCTGTTTTTTTCACCCCTCAGACCCCTTTGAAAAGTCACTTCTGGCCATTGTAATGGCCACTATTTTCTTATGGCCAGATACCAAGCAGAAATTTT